AAGAAAATGTTCAAGATCTAAATAACCAAAAATGTGTAATCTATATAATTCTGTGATGAGGGGCAGGAAGTCAATGGCCAGTGTAAAGAGCAAAAATTAATAAATCATGTTCCATTTACAGGGCTGAGTTTCAGAATCCAGATACAACTAAGGAATGAAACATGAAACTTAAACATTTCATTTACTTAAATCAAAATTCTCTGCTTAAAAAGAAAAATCACATTTTCTTTTGAAATACAGAAAGATTTAATTCAACAATTTGCTCATCATTCTGTCCAGTGGTCCACAATTAGCCAGTAATATCATCCAACTAAAATTATTTGACAATTCCAAAATTGCTTCAGAATGAATTACCATTTTTCAGTCCCTATTTTGCACTAACCAGAGTTTATCTAATGTTGATAAGAATCCAAAATTTCACTTTACATAGCAATTGCATAGTTGTAGTCTTTACTAACTTCAGGGAAGAGTAGGAGGAAATGAGGAAGTTTAAAGCTAATAAAGCAAAGTGAAATTCTAGGTATAGTTTTACATCTTTCCAAAATCTCCAGAGAAACATAAAACATCTGCATTTTGCCTGGTGTTAAGTAAAAATGATGCAAAACCACCCAATTCATATAATTTCCTTCAGAAACCACAAACCGCTCACTGACAGCCAAAGAACTCAGAAACTGAATAGCTTTGTTGAAACCTGGAACTAGTTGTATTTTGTGTTTTTCTTCACACCTCTATATAAAGTGCGTTCAATGAAACGCTATTGTCAAAGCCACATATACAGCCAAATCTCCAAGTAAAACAGAAAGACAACTATATAGAAATACCATAGCTAGAGCCTATATACTCTTTTCTACATCATGGAATCTTAGAAATCTGCTTGTAACATAAGAAAACTGCAGCTGAGAAATGTTAAACAGCTAATCAGGTATAAAAGTTATGGCTGGACTCAGGTGTCCCCAATTGTCTAGTGCTTTTTAGTTGAGAATTGGTTCCAAGGCATACATACACAGCTTTTAAAAATAAAATATACAAAGCCTGAGAAATCTTTATTACAGGTATCTCCATTTGGTAGGAATAGAGAAATTATTAAAAAAAATAATTAAAATGACGTGTGCCATTAACATGATAGAAAAGTTAAGGAATAACTACAGAGCAAGAAACAAATATTTTGTGACAATCTGAGTGATTAAGGTGCTGGGTGCTATAAATATGTAACTATCAGTATGTTATGAGTACATTAAGACAATTTCACTTTACAATAAAGAACCACATCAATAATTGATAAAGCCAAAGACAATTAAAAAAATCAAATTTTGAGTTCTCAGTATGCGAAGATCTGTTTATGAGTCAGGAATACAAAACAAAGAACCAAAGGACAGAAAGAAGGCAAGGGTATGACCTCTGAAAGAACTATGAAAACACAACCTGCCTATTTCTGGACTAGGTCGTGCTTTCCCAGGCAGCCGGAATTCTGGGATGGAGTGTTGGGTGGCACGGGCAGGAAGCAGCAGGACATCTCCTATGCCTGTTTGGGTAGCATCTCGGATCCTTCCTTCCTCAGTCCCAAAGGGAAGGATGGGAAGTCTGGCTGAATGTGGCTTTGTAGCTAGACAGTGAGCCAAGAGCCAAGGCTGAGCCTCTCCAAACAAGTCCATGAAAAGGGGGTAGTGAGTGATAAAATGAAATGCAGCATGTTTTGCAGAAATACATACATTGGACTCCATGAATATCAAGTCAAAACGTCTCTCCTATACTCAATCAAATGCAACAGACACTTGCCACAGGGCCCCTGCATTTAGGGCACAAGATCTGATCAATACCCAGAATAATGAAGGTAGGGCCTCCCCAGCTTACACATCTTCTACGGTATACAGTGGGAGGTTCTAGGTATAGGTGGGAATGGCTTCCTTTGGCTTTGCTGTGCTGAAGGAAAATGCCAAAGTGAATCATTCAGGAAAAAGAGGACCAGGGCACTTTCGCTAAGGAAGGGAGAAGGCTCCTCGCCGGGAAAGAATGGTGAGCTTGTCTAAGGGTCAGAAAGACAAAAACATTTTTCACATTTAATTTCTCAGAAGCTCTTTGGAATTTTTATAGGTAATCCATCACCAGATGTAACTGTTGAGAACAGCAAGACATTTTCCTCAAATAAATATAGTGATAAAGGTTTTAAGTTCACAAAGGCTTTCTTTAAAAAACGCATCCGGAGTTTTGCATTTGTCCCTAACAAGCCTTCTTTGGTGCAGTTCTTCCCACTTTCAGCTGACCTCTCACCCTTGCATTCCTCTACCTGTTTATAGCAAAACAAAGACAGCAGCGGCTCTGAGCTGACAAGCAGCATTTGGACCATCTGAGATTCTGGAAAAATAAAACACACACAAGGACACATCTATCTTTGAACTCGTTTTTACAACCTTACCATCTACAATATTAACAGGAAATATCCATCTGGTCCCTTGTAATTTAAAGGCATTTGGTTTTATTACAACACACAGAACCTGGGAACCATTTTGGCAGTGTAAACGCAAAATACATATATCATGCTTAGAGAACAAAGAATCTGCTAGCGCGGGTTAAGTCCCATCCCACAACTGTTTCAATAGCAGTATTCCTCTACATTTCTTTCATTTCACCAAGCACATATGTAGTATTTACTCTGTGCCAGGAATAGTTTCAAGTGTTTTACAAATAACAGGTTATTTAAACCTCACATGGTTATATCTATGAGGTACTGTACTATTTTAGATTTGTTTTGGAGCTGAGGAAAATAAAGCAGAGAGATTGAATGACTTGCTCAAGGTCACACAGCTAATAAGAGGTGGAACTAGTTTAAACCCAGGCAGTCCGTGCTCCAGAGTCCACATTCCCCTCCATCATGCTACCTCCTAAACTTCCACCAAATCTAAATTAAGATCAAGTGTGATTTGTGTAGGATCATCTTACACATTTTCATAACATTGTCATTTCCATAATTAACTCATGCCATGTTGCAGCTTCCTCCGGCTCTTGAGGAATAACAAAAAGGAAAAGGTAAACATGATCAAATACTCACTCCATTGGACCCCTTTCAATCTTTTCAAAACAAAACGAAGCTATAGAAAATAATAAAAGTGTCCTATATTTGCTGGGAAAGATACTGAGCACAAAGTGAAATGCTCGGAAATCACTTCGATGTTTAAATTTTGTAATGCCATTGAAACTTTGCAAGGCCTTTATACTCATACAAGTTCAGAATCGGCAAGCTGGTGTACTCGAGAAGGTCCAATGATCATGGCCAAGAGGCACGGAACAGCTCGGAACAGCTCCTCGAGGTTCTTCCTCTAAGAGACAGGGGAGTTTTCTGCCCTCAATTCTTTGCACGCGTCTGGCAGAGTGCGCATGCACACCCCCGCCTCTGCCCACTGCTCTGGCACTTAGCCTTCACGGGAGGGGCACCCCGCTGGGCTCAGGGCATTCTGCCAGCACAGCCTTGTCCTGGGAGGGGCCGGGGCACTGTGCACACCCCAAAACACTTCAACTTTCGCTTTGGGAGTGTCCTGCAAATTAAGGCAGCAAAGAAGGAGGAATCTGTCTCCATTCCTGCCAAGAAACGACTCCTTTTTTTATTTGGGAAAGGTGCATGTGTTGGGTCAAAGAGAAGGGTCCTCTCTTCACTCTTTGATTGTCAAAGCCTGATTTCGCTTCAAATGCCACACCTGTGGCCTCCCGCTGTGCAACTTACTTCTGACTGTGGTAAAACTGGCACAAGACTGCCATTCTTGTGCTACCATCAGCTACCATTCTTCATTTTGACCATCTGCCCTTAGAAACAATGTTGAGGAGACTAACCCAGCAGCTTCGCCTAGTTCTTTTGCTTACTGGAAACTAGAGTTACCATCCTCTCCCTTTATAATGGAATGCAATGGCCCAACTGTGCAAAAAGTCTGGGCCCCATGGCTTGCAGGTAGACAAACATTAGTCCCCATTACCTTCCCATCCCTAACCAGAGATGTCAGCCTGTATGTGCAATTACAGAGTCAACCTGCCACTGTCACTCTCTCTCCTTCAGAAAGTTCAGGACCTAGCCTGTAATTCTCAAAGACTAAAATAGCTGAGGGAACGCCTAACCATTTCAAACCTAAATTTACTGGATTCCTCACACTACCAACACATCTCTAAGGCACGCTCCTCCCCCTTTAAGCTTCCTTCTCCAGTCTTCTAAACCCCATTCTCATTGGCAGTAAAACATTGGGATGTATGCGACCAAACTTAATTCCCATCACATCATCAGACCTGCCAACTTAGCACACTAAAGATGCCCCTGAAATTTACTTGACTTTTGTGGATTTTTTTTTTGTATGGGGGAGTGAGATACAATTTTGAGATCCAGATAAAATTCTGGACACAGATTTCCCAAATATTTGTGATGTATCTCTGTTTTTCCCATAAAAATATCCATGTGTGATCATGAAAAAAAAATCAGTGTTCTGATTGGACACTTATTACACGATAATTTATAGAACCAAAAATGATGTTGTTTTTTTTTTTCAGAAGTGTTGATTATGCTGGGTGGTCCCTTTAGAATCCATACAACCTCACTTCAAAAAAATAATCTTTACAAATAGGCCACTTTACACAAACAGCTATGGTAAGAATTTTGTAAGTGTTATAAGGTTCAGGGTTTATTTAGTGTAAACACAGTCTAGACTCATTATCTTACCCTCATCTCAGAGCCTGAAACAAAGAAAAGAGTGAGCCTGGTGAGAAAACCGGAGCTGGAGGTACAGAGAACAGATGCTGAAAGGAGTATCCTGGGTGTAACAAAACCAACCCCTTACTACACAGGTGGCTCAGGTTGGAAAGGGCAGAATAAGGAGCCAGGAACTGCACCTGAAAACTCCCATGTCAGAACACCACCACCAAGCATTGCTTGTAATGAGCCCTCCCATGTGCAGAGGGAAGCTGTGCATGTGGGTGGGGAGCCCCACATCCTAGGGAGCTGAAGTCCCCAGGGTGATGATACTCACGCTGACACTGTCCCCAGGACCGACGAGCCCAGCCCCAGCAGCAGTCAATCCTCCCACCATAACGACAGAGGCCAACTGATGACACTATTTGCCTGGGCCACCTATCAAACAAAGAGAGTCAAAATAAATAGAGGTGCTTTTGAAATTAAAAATAAGTTCCTTTGTTATTAGTTTAGAAAAAGATTTTAAATCACACCCAACAATTTTCTATGAACTCCTTCATGCCTGCAGAAATTTAAGAATAAACACCTTTAGGGAAATAGTTCTGCTATGATCTAACTTCAATTTTCAGACAGTTAAACACACACACACACACACACACACACACACACACACACAACACACAGGAGCAGGGGGAAACAGGCAGGGGAAGCTCCTTTCTTAAATGGGAATAGCACCAGCTAAAACCAAGACTTCTCAAGGCTGCCACTCACAGGGTGGTTTCTGAAGCTTGAAATAAAACAGATTCCTCAAAGACCCACACCTGTTACTGTGGGAAGACCAGCTTTCACCAATTCATCACAAACTAAAAAGTATTAAGACATGTCAAAGCAGAAAGAAAAAAATGTCTGCCATATATAAAAGGTAGATGTGGGACCAGGCAGAAAAAAGGGAGGTTCCTTAAAATCAAATAAAACAGAACTCTTTTCGAGATATGACTTTTGGCAGAAATAGTGCCCAGAAAAAATGTACTAGAAAAAGAAGTCTAAATAAAACCAAGGAGAGCTTAAAGTGCAGCTAACATCTCAAGTGTCTTTGTGGCTTGAAACTTTGCTGCATCAACAATTCATGTTATCTTCTTCTCTAATGTAAATAAGGACTAAAGAAAGGATTCAATTTCAGGATACCGATTTATCCACCAGATTCCACTTTGCCACCTTATTTGGTAAATCGTTTCCCTCTTTAGACACCTAAATGACTCCCCCCTCCCCCAAGATAAATATTTTAACTGGCTGTTTCAGACATCTTTTTAAAGCTATATTAAAATCGTATGCATAATCATGGGATGTATTTCTTGTTGAAAATGTGCGTGCAAGAAATGCACAACGTACCCGAATGTGGGCAAAGAACTGCTTTTAAAAAAATAAAATAGCCTCTGGCCACTACCCAAGTTTTCTTAAACTGTATTAATCTTTTCAATTCCCCTTTCATTAATCTCCCCCTCATGCCCCCAAGCCCAAAGGACAAAATAACCCCGAACTTTCTATTTCGTCCGACCAGGTGGTAAACAAGCGGTTGCGCGCCACTGGTTCCCTTCCGTTCCCCTCCAGGTACAAGAAAGCCAATCAATCGTGGAATTGATTCGTTCCAAGATTGCAAGTTAGACAGGTGCGGCAGTCTTTCGGGCTGCGAGGGAGATAACTGACGGGTGGGGGTCGCCTAAAGAGAGAGACTGGACAGCGGTGTGACCCAAGTGAAATTTGTCGTGGCTGCTCGCGCGAGCGGCAGCGATCTGCACTCAGGGAGAGTCTAGTCTGTAATTGCTCCGCGGTGGGGTAACCGAGCACCCGACACACACATCCCCGGCGGCTGGGGAGAGGGTGACACACCCACCACCACTAACAACCACCACCACCACCACCACCACCATCACCGCCACCACCGCCACCATCACCATCAACCACCACCACCACCACCACCACCAGCACCCCGCCCCGCTCCACCCCACCCCTGGCGGCTGGGGAGAGGGCGCCGCGCGCCGCGGCTGGAGGACACGCTGAGTGACAGCGGAGACGGAGCCTAGTTGTTGAAACCTGTCAGAGCACGCCGCAGTCAGGCTCGCCCCAGGTTTCGGGGGGTGGGGTGGGGTGTGTGTGTGTGTGTGTGTGTGTGCGCACGGAGTTCTTATTTTGAGTCCTCCTCCCTCAAGAAAACCAAGTGGGGAGGCAAACAGGTAGTCCCCGGTAGTCACACTTGGTGTGAGCGGCCCTGACAGCACCAAGCCCGGATATGGCCACTGCCACCAGGAAGTTTCCCCACTGATGAGCCGTCTAAATGATGAGCGAGAGTTTCCCGGCCAAGGGATGTCCGCGCGTCACCTCCTCTTAGCGGCCGACCCGCACCCTCAGAACCGAGATGCTGGGATCGAGACCCCCTTCTCTCCCAGCCCTAGACCCGGAGCTGGGCGCCGCGGCTGCGTCTCCGGGCTCGGCCTCGGACAGCCGCGGGTGGGGAGAGGGGCTCGACGGCTGTCCTCCTGCCGAGGCGATGCTGTGCCCCGGCTTCTGTACACAGACGCCTCTGTGATCGCTCCACCGCGCCGGGATAGGGGACCCCAGGACTGTGGGAGATGCGCGTGGGAAAAAAAGGAGAGAGCGCCCCGGGGACAACTCACCTCCCGTCGAACTCAGCGGCCGCCGGCAGGTAGAGCGAGGACCCCAGCACCAGCGCCAGGAGCAGATCCATGTCCGGAGGCGAGGCCCGGGGGGCGGTGCGGCTGCGCGCGGGGACCAGGCTGGGGTGCCGGGAGCGAAGGAGAGGCGCGCTCGCCTCCTCGGCTCCCCCAGGGAGCTGCGGTGGCCGCGGCTGCTGCTGCCACCCTCGGAGGAGAGCCGCGCGGCGCGCAACGGGAGCAGGTCTGCTGCACGGCTCCGGGAGCCCCTCCGGCTCCCTCCCGGCGAGGGAGGTACTGCAGGGGGAGTCGCGCCGCCTGCAGGGAGGGGCGGGGGGCGCGCGTGCGCTCCACTCGCCGCCCTCCCGGCCCCCGGCCCGGGCGAGGGGTGAGGGCGCCTGGCCCCTCGGCGGGAAGCTCGCGGGCGGGGGCGCTGCGGGTAAGGCAGCGTCTGTTGGGGGCCGGCCAAGCCGGGCGAGCGCCAGGCTGGGAGGAACGTTGCAAGCCCGGCCTGGGCGAGGAAAGCAGGGTGCTCAGCAGGAAAGGGTAAGCAGGGAGGAAAGGGGCCCGGGGCGTAGGTGCGCGCTCCGCCAGTTCCGCCCTAACAGGTGGTGACCGCAGGGGTGAGCGGGAGCTTTCACGGGAGGGCTGAGAAGCCCAAGACTAGAAAGGTTTATGGGGCTGGAGTGGAGCGGCGTCTGCCATTTAGTGAAACCACAGCACGACTTGGACAAATCAGCAAAGGCAAACTCCGGGAGTTTGCTTCTCCCGCAGAGTTGGCAAAGGCCTATTTTTTATTTTGCAACCAACCGAAAGAAATGTTTGGCTCTCCAATCGAGTTTTGAAGAAGAAAACGTGCCGAGTGTTTCCTAGCTCTGCCAGCTCAACTCAGAGCATGTGCCCACGGGAGAGGGAGGGCTGTAACTACTTAGCAGTCTTGTGTGGCCTGATCCCGCGGAGATGCTTTAGAAACCATTTTAATCCATCATTGCTCTGCTGTGGCAGAGTAAAACGTATTGGGCTAAAGCACTGTGTTCATATGAGAACACGCAGTGATTATCCTAATATGCACGTTTAAAACATCCGTCCAATCGAGTCACCCCTCTTTCCAAACCTTACCCCGAAAGACACCCAAGGGCAATGCTCTGCCATCTCCTATACCTCTCAGGCCCAATCGCCTATTCTCTTTCTTTCCCTAACCCATCACCTCCTTGCCTTTCTTGCACACTCCTGGCATACCCCTCCCTACCTTAGGGCCACTGACCAACTGTTACTTCTGCCTGGACCTAGACATCTGCATGGCTCACACTCTGAAGGAAACACTTCCTTCAGTCTTTGCTCAAATGCCACCTCACCTCTCTGAGTAGATTAAAATTGCAGCCTGCCCCCTCCTGATGCCCTCTGCCTGTTCTACTTTGTTTTTTACCCCATACAGCTAACCTTCTAGTTTCCTATATAATTTGCTTATTTCGTCTTTGTATGTCTTCTTTCTGCTAAAACACGAACTCTACGAGGGCAAGTTTCTCTGTTCAGTGCCTAGAACAGTGCCTGGTGCATAGTAAATGCTCATAAATGTTTATTGAATAAGTTCGTTGCATTACAAACTTTCCCCCATTTTTATTGTCTTTTTGAGGTTTTCAACTTCAAATTTTTAATGGAAAGTTCTGTGGCAGTGACCTCACTATCTTGATCTCTTAGTGTGTATAAAAACAGGAATTTTCTGTGAGAAAAAGAAAAATAATGGTTTCAACTTAAATGGCTCTTTGATTTCCAAGTTGTTTTCTGTTAGCAAAACAAGTTTCTGTTTTTATCTCAGGAAATATCCATGCCAATTCAGGCTTGGGACATTATTTTAGGCAAACAGCTTGGTGTCATCCATTTCAGATCTTTCTAATGAAGTCCAAAAAATGTAGAAGTCAAAATATTTTTTCTGCAGAAAATGAAATTTTTGTAAGTGTAATGTGGGCCTGGTTCCAGGCTCCAGTGGCTACTCCTTAGCCATTTTCTTGGTTTATTGGTTCCTGGGTTGGGTTTGCAAACAAGCCCCACCAGAGCATTGGATGCGTGGGGAAAAGGGGCTAACCTATTGGCTAAAAATGAGGTGGAAGAAATGGAAGAAAAGTGGTGGGTGAAAACAGGACGACTATCTGCAGCAAAAGGGCAATGCCCCATCTACACGCCTCTTTTATTTTTTCCATATATTTTCTTTGGCCTAGAAAACACTCCATTCATCTTCGTTCTTCATTTGGACACTCTCCACTTACCCTTTGGTCCAAGCCTAGCTGACAGTTACCCAGAAAGCTTTTTGATTCTTTGCTTGGCTGAACCTCCTATGGTATGTGCTTCTACAACTCTGTGCGTCCCCTGGAGTAACTCTTGATACACTGTGTTGTAATCACTTCTCTACCAGTCTGGGTTCCTGTGAGATACTTAATCTAACCAGTAGGAGGGCAAGGGCAATTGTCATTTTATCCCTCGTGCCCAGCACAATGTCTGGCATAAGGCTTAACATCAGCAATATTAAATAGATTGGATGAGATTGGATTGAATTCTACCTGGTGAACTTTAGCTTCTCCCTTGAGTGAGCTGTTGCTAATTATTTCAGTTTTTGTGGGATCATGGAATGAGGAGATTCTGAAGAAATTCCAATGTCTAACCTGGTTAGTATGCTGTAGTTTTGACCACCAGTGATCATTCCAGAAAAGAAGTGGAGTTCCCTGGCAGTGACATTTCACTATTTCAGGCTTAAAAACAAACAAGAAAGAACCAGGTCAAAACAACTTGCTTTTAGCAGTATCTGTACTTTTCCGGTAGAACAACCTTTTGGTTAGGTTTCCTACCAGGTCATGCCACGTTGCAAGTAGTAATCCCAATTTTCAAACACACAAATAATTTTCACTGGTCACAATGTGATACACATAAATGACAAATAGAACTAAACACACACAACTTCAAACACAAGGGCATTAGAAGTTCTTAATTATTTAGTCGTTTGGTTTTTTTTAACTTACAAATATTTATCAAGAGCCTACCAGGTATTGACCACTTCAGTTGGGAACAAAACAGAGTTGTGCCCTGAAAGAGTTGACATTGCCTCTGTGGGGGAGCAAGACTGTGTGCTATGAAGACAGGAGAAAGGGGTAAAGGGGGGCAAAGGAAGAGTAAAGTGATAAAAAGTGATGGGATATGATTTTAGGTGGAACGATTTGGTCATCTCTGGGCAGGGACACTTCAGCAGAGACTGAATGAAATGAGGGTGTGGGGTGGGGGTGTTGTGTAGGCAGTGGGGAGAGATGTGTTTTCTCTACCCAATTTTGTTGATCTTGTCATGCTAACCGTTGAGCAAGCTGTTGCTCCCCTATCCCATATGCCATGGTGGCCCAGGGACAGGATTACTGCTTTTAACACTCCTATTAAATAAAAGAAGGATGAGGAACACATCACTGCTCATTCGCAGCAAATTTGACTCGCAGCTAAGCAAGAGTTATGGAGTGTCCCTGCTCTGGAAGTGCCTTGGTTAGGTAATCAGGTCATCCCGCTTCTACTACTATGTCCATTAATCTTGCATAGCCACATCAGAAATGACTGCTGGAGCATATGACTTCCTTGGGGGCTTTATATCATTTATAGTTCTTTTTCTCCTGTTACGAATTTAAAGTTCTGAGTATTGCTTTACCGAGCGAACAGAGACAGACATTTTCAGGCCAGACTCATGGTTTCTGTGGCTACAAGATTTCCTTAAAACCATAATAGGCTTTGGATCTAATTGCTTCCAGTCAGTTCTTTGTGCAGATAACCATACCCAAAGTCTTTTCTAGTCCTCCTTGGTAAGCCTGCTTTATTTCTTTGCTTCCATGTACCCACACCTTCCTCTTTCATCTTAATGGAGGCCACCTTGAGGCTAGCTGAGATAATAGGGTTGTTTGGGAGGGCAACACCCTTACTCTGATCCTTGCCACAAGGCTTGGATCCCTTTATCTATATTAATGTTGGGGGCATCAAAGCATTTGTCTTTTTCAATCCTGGGGAGTCCAAGGTTTCTGGACTTTCTCATTTTCTTCCATTTCTGCTTGCAAAGCAGCCAGTTCTTGCCTGCACTCATGTCTTTCTTAATGAGCTTGTGGGGTAAAGTCGAACGCTGCAGTCAGAGGCATGGAAATATTTGACTATAGTCGAACGTCACAGCGAAAGAGTTTAAGATACCTTACTAAAAGCAACAAGAAATCAGCAACATTTCATTTTTTACCATATTCACTTTATCTGGATATCTTTTGTGCCTTTCTATTAATCATAGTTAATGATTTTACAAAATAGCATAATGAGTGTTATAAACTTTTCAGCCTACAAACAGCAGCTATAGCTATACCTCAACCAGAGCATATCATTCCTTCAAAGAATAGATAATTCCAATACTATTTAAACTCTTCCAAAATATCAAAAAAGAAATGTTTACAAATGATTCCTAAGAACTCCTTGATATCTAAACCTGAAAAAAATAGCCTTCTCATATGTGCAACATATGCACACATACACAACTCATCTCAGATACGAATATCAATGCAAAAGTTCTAAATAAATCATTAACAAGTATAACCTAGGACTATATTAGAATAATCCATTACAATCAAGTTGACAGAAAACCTTTATGTGGGTAAAGGGTTAACAAAACCCCTTCCCCTTCTGCAGGAGAATGTGACCTATGTTAACTTTCTTGCTCTGTTCCCCCGGCAACCTGATAAGGTGGTTTGTGAACTATGTTGCTATGTTGCTGGTAAAAATGGACCCCAAATTGGTAAACTGCATTTAGACAGAGAGCACCAAAAATACCTGGCAGCAAACCATAGCATTGGCCCAACCTGAGCTCAGTGACTCTTGTGACTAGTCCCTTGCAGAGACCTTGGACCCTCTGCCTGTGGTGCTGTCTCAAGAGATGCTGGCTCCAGGGGGCATGAGGCTGTTCAGTGAGAGCAGTTTCACACCTGTGTGTAGTGTTTCCCGTCCTGCACCTGAGCTGTTACATATGCTGTGTGAGGAGTTCCATTGAAGAGGAGCGCTTACTGCTACTATGCAGGCAAGCCCTGTCCCTGTCCTATATCTTTTTGAGCAAATGGGTGCCAAATGTAGCCATTACAGTATCGGAACCTGAATGTTCTGAATGTTTCCTCAAACCTGAGAAGACCTGAGGTTGCTGCAGACTCTATGATCAGCACTATTGATTCCTGATTTAAAAACAAACCAACAAACTAGTCATAAAATAGGAAGAGCTATATCTCAAACTAAAACCCAAAATAATGTATAATGTAATCACTGGGAGAATTCTTATTAATGTCAAGAATGAGGTGAATAGGCCCATATCATTACTTTTATGATAATCTACAAATATCTGATGCAATTAGATAAGAAAAAATATGATTTTTGAAAGCAAGAGGTAAAGTTCTCATTAAAATGATATGTAACTAGAATAGCCAAATAGTAATTTTAAAATGTATTTGAAAAATAAGAATATTAAGATAGTTACAAAAAAATGATAATTTAAATATATACACACCTATATGAAAAAGTTAAAATATAATTTAAAAACCATCAGCTTAAAAGACTGATCATCAAGCTTTATGCTGACTTTCTCTGTACAAACTGAAGGCCTTGGTCTTTTGGTCTCTTAGAGTACAGATGAGAAACCAACGCGCTTCAGGCACAACTATTACTGTTATTTCTCATCTGTCTTCAAATAGTTCTGCTAAAGACAATGGAAGACTTTATTTGATGGAACTGATTCTATTTTAGTATCACTGGAAGAGCTGAAATAGGCACCAATGGCTGACCAACCGATTAGAATGTAGTATCAAGAGTTATAAAATTGAGTTATGTTTTAAAGTCTCCTAACTTTCAGCCCTTTTAGAATTGTATCTTACTGATCTGAGACAAATTTTAAAGAAATTTTATTCACGTTTTTATGTATAAAGATAGAAAGATTCTTCTACTCTGA